GTGGCGTCCCCTGGGCGGAGAAATCTATAAACAAAAAAACTGAGGATCCACCTTAATATCGTTCATGTTTTCCACGCCCGCCTTAATTAACCTTGATCTCTCCTCAAATTACGCGCGGAACTGCGCGCAAGCGTCGGCCATGATGAATATCGCCGACGATGGAGCGACTCCTCTAACAAAATGTTCACCTGTGCCGTAGTATCGTTTTTGAAGCGGGAAGCTTAAAAAAACGCAGATTTCTTACGCAGATTGTGAAATTATGAATGCATTTCAGACTTTTCCGATGCGCTCATCGTGATTTTTGAGGCATTATCTATAAGAAACAACTCTTATTTTTGCTCTAGCAAAAATTTGCAACAGGCCCAAATATTCGAAGGGCTTGAGCGCCATGTTCCCGCTGGAATTACGGCTGCGGACAATTTTTCTCGCAATCTACATGTGATTTGGCCGCTTCTTTCCCCTATTCGGATTGTTCAGCGCTCAAGTCGGGAATTTCGCTCACTCCTTACGAGTGTATGCTCAAAATAAAATCTTCAATCCTATACATAATTCATGCTTCACAATTTTTATTTGCTGTCAAGCAGCGTTATGAGTTAGGCGGAATAACAGAACAACACTCATGAAAAGCATATAAAAAATTAAAAATGGTTTATTACACCATTATAAAATATATTATCTAATTTACAGTTACATACAGTTACAATAAATAAGGTCAAACAGGATTTGAATTTATTGAAATTAGACATCCTTTGATTATGTGCCTTTGTGGAGCTCAAGCTGTATCTTCAGGGCTTAAAAGACAAAGGGTTAAGGGGATAGAGAGAACACACTACAATTGACGTTTAAAAATAAAAATAAAAAAGAGACTGAGTGGTTTTACAAATAGTTCCTTGTATAATCATATGTATAAAATTCAACCAAAGCTCCTGCCATACTTTTGTTTATTAAAATCAGGCAGCCTCAGTCACTTGGCGATGCAGACTTACAAGGTTCATATCAGGAAAACAGAAAGCCTCACGGTTCGTTTCAAAAAATTTTAAGTTTTCTGCAGACCACCCACGATTTTTCTTGATGAAAGTGTCAGGTAAGGCCTCTGGATTGAAAAAGCGGAAACCGCGAAATCGCAGGTGGGGCCATTTTTCTTATTTCCGAATTTTTCGACTTTTAAGGGTAAAATGGCGGTGGAGGCCAATGTGTGTCCACCAAAACCCACAACCCTCTGGTCAAATTAAGTTCAAATTTTATGTATGATAGCCTGTAATATGTAAAAGAGCGTCCTCCGAAGTTTTAAACTCTCCGTTGAAGAATTGCACCCTCTTATAAGGTGTTGTCAAGTTTCGTACCCTATAATGATGCGACTGATGGGACAATATAGATTTTGGGTTGCGACTGTCAATAAAAATCATGAAAAACGTATCATTTTACACTGTGTGAATAACTTTGAATCAAACTTGACGAGTTGCCTTATTTTCGTTTTTGGTAATTGCAAAAGTTGTTCAGAAAATGTTAATTTTTATATTTGATTGAAACCACTCTAGGCTTATTGATCAGCTACTTTTTGCATTCATCAGCTTTAATTGATGAATTAATACATACAATGGAACATTATGTCAGTCATTTAACTGAAGTTAAAGAAACGCAACCTATCTACGAAAGTAAATGCACATAAATTGATGTTTTCGGATTTGGTTCAAAAAGAATCCCCGGACTTTATTGAATGTAACTGGATACAATTCCTGAATGTGGAGAAACTAGAGTAAAAGATGTGAGCACACTTATACCGAACAGAGTTATGAGATGCTTTTTCTTACAGATGGGCTTACTGAGAAAATTACTTCTGTTCGAAAACAAAATTTAACAACAAAATAAAAGTAATTAAACATGGTTCAGTATAAAGCAGAAGATTAAAATACGTGAAGAAACAAAAAAAAATAAGAGCTAGACCACGATAATTTATAAAGGGATAAAAATAGAACGTCATGAGACTAACAGTACTAAATGCTGTAATAATTATCCTATATGTACACTAGTGAAAAAAAGAAGAGGAAAGTGAATTGTTACAAACTAAGGATATTTTGTGGGATTTCAAACAATAGAAAATGAAAAGAATTGGAGATCTTATTCATAATTACTGCTGGAGATGCTCAGTTTAAGAACATAATATTGCCTGTCAATGTTACCATCACATTAAAAGAAAAAACCTCCATTCTAGAGATAGTTTCCTTTCAACCGTATTAAACACTGAAAAGCAGAGGGTATTTATACTTCAGTTTGAGGTTGGTTATTGTTTTTTTTACAATTGACAGCTTCAGTCGAAATGTGAGAATATAAAACACCTCCTTTCACTTAGTATTGTTCAATACAATTGAAACAGTCACCGAAGTTCAGGTAAAGAAAGTCTATCTGCATTTTGATGCTGATCATCAATCAAATTAAGAGTATAGGTGTCTATGCACATAAGACTTTTCTCCCTAAAACTTCCCAATTAATTAAATAAAAATTACTTTAACATGAATATAATGAACAAAAACAAATTGCTTTTGCTGTAAAAAAACAACTTTTAAAAATTTTATTACAATAGCGTGAGTCTGGAATCTTAGCCACGAGATAACTTTTTTCTAGTTTTTTCTTCTATTTTTATTGTCAATGGCTAGTGATGATCAAAATTATCTGAAAGATCCATCAATAACTGAATCACAAGAAATGTTGGGAATCTCATATCTTGTTTCATTCAACAATATTGATGTCAGATAAAAGTAAATTTGACGACAGACTGGATTTACTACTAATTTAATATACATTTTTCATCATATTTAGAAATGACTAGAGGAGTGCAATTAAACAGAAAAAATTGGTAATATAATGGTCTCAAAACAGCGAGACGAATTCTCAGAGAGGCGTTCATAATGCCTTGACTCATCTGATTTATCCTCAGCATACAGCACTTAGGTTTGTCAAATTTTGCTACACAATCAGAGAGATACGTAAGTAAGAAGCTTATTGTATCAATTAGGGGGAGGGGGGCTCGACCCAAACCCTGAGAGGCACTTCACTCCACAATGACATGGAATCATTCATTTGAGAGTAATAAAAATAATAGAGAGATACAATAGTGACGACTAGCACTAGATAATTATCAAGTGATATTAATCTAGATTGCTGTATCAGTTAAAACAAGATACAAATGAACTCAATAGTCAGTCTTACTTAAAATAAATTGGTTGATCAGTTACCGTAAGCGTTCTGATTAAATCGACCGACTTGAAAAAGTTTTCATGGGAAAGGGCAAACTTAAAGTTTTTTTTTGTGAAGAAACAATTACTAAACAACATGAAAAGGAGAAGATAGGATAAATACAGGGCAGTTGCGATAAGTTACTCAAATGTATCAGAAAACTCATCTATTGTTCAATCCCCTAAGTTTAGAGGGACCTCTGTTTCTGAGCTGACCTGTCTGGGTCTCTCAGCCCCTCTCCCAAGTCCTTCCACTATGGTTAAATTTTACCCTAAGTTTTCTTCCTAAAAGCAGTTTGCTGCAAATGAAAGCAACTTAGCCCAATTGCAGGAACACTGAAATACTCCGACATACCTATATGTCGGTCCACGATTGAATAGGATGATGAATCAGCACAATTTTTATACATCAAATCAAAGTATTCAATGTATTTTCAAATTTCGCTCGACGTTTTACGTACACTTTCTCAACTGCAATGATATTTTCCTTTTGATTTATTCTGCCGGAGTTTGCTTTAAAAATTTAAGGTGGAAAGTCAAATTAGATGTTATATGAATTGCTTTATTCAGAGCACCAATTTAATGGAAACTTATGGCCGGAAAGGAGGTTTCAAAAAGGATATGAAACTTCAATGTACATGTTCAATTGGACTGCATTTTGCAATTTGGACCTATAAACTCTGGCTCATCTGAAAAAACACCTATGTGCATAGGGAAAGTAATGGCACATACGTTGTTTTAAAACCGGGCCGGAATTTATAGTTCCTAATTGCAAAATGTAGTCCAATTGTAAACTGGTGTTACTCCAAATTCTGCCAGGCAGTAGAATGTTAATCAACGATCACAAATAGGCTTACAGCTTGTCGTCTTTCTAGAGTCAACAATTAGACTGTACTGTTGTGAGTAGATAGTATTGGTAATTTGGCCAACAAGCGTTTCAGTATAAAACCGAAATTCTCATGAGAGGGGTAAAAATCTTGTCTGCACAGTTTTATCTCAAAAAGATATACTGGTTGGTGCCAGCTAGTTATGATCAATCAAGAAGGCAACTGTAGACGCGTTTCGGGGCTAGTTTGTCATTGGCACAGCGCAGTTTTCTGATTTTTTGCTTCCGAGCTTGGGGAGGTTGTGAAAACAGGTCGCAACTGCAACCACAGCAGTAAGAAAACCTACTGCCATTTCGCAAGCAAATAATCCGAGCAAAATATTAACAATATTTTACATGCTGGTTTTAAGGATCTGTCAGATCTAATTTGAGTTCCTACATTGATCTTGTATAGGTAAACATATTCCAATTTGCCCATTTTTAGGCAGGTATGCATTTTTTATTTTAGTGACATGTTTTCATATTTGATCAGTTAGAAGTCGAAGTAGAGACTGTTAAATGAAAATAGAAACAAAGGATAGCAAGGATCTGCATCCATGCCCGCCAGGTCCCTTTCCCCTACCTTAGCGTTAATTTATATTCGCTGGGGTCCCTTCCTGCAGTGGGAAAAATTTGCACCTTCTATGAGCGCTGCCACAAAAAGTAAAAAATCTTAAGAAAATTGTTAATTACTCATCCCGAATTTACTGAATGAAACTTTAAAAATTGGAGATGGAGATGCACATCTTTGTATCGAGCCTCCCGCAAGAATAAAAATGCTTTATTGTTGAGGATAAATTGATACGCTCGGAATAGAACAAAGCAGAAACAATGACTTTGAATGAATTCACGCAATAGTTACGGCTTCATGGCTGGGAGAGGGGCAGAGGTTTTAAGTCTTAAGTCCGACCCCACTTGTGCACTGGTGAACATGGAGCATGCCGCATTCCCTGTGTGCTGGGTGCGGGTGGCTCTGAACCCCGCCCTGGTCAGTTGCGAGCGGCTGGCAGGGGTCTTTGGGACCTGGGGCCATCATTCCGACAGGCGGACAGTAGTTACCATGACTTGGTCCCCACCCCCACTTTCAAAGCAAAAAGAAACTTTAAGTTTACAATTAAAGGCAGCTGTTCTGGCAGTCACCTGCTGCGATCAGTATTACAGCAGCTGATGACTTTTGAAAAAACAACTGTAAATCATTGACTATCCATGTTTTCCTATTTGAAACCATAGTCAAAAATCGATTGTTAAGGTGTTGATTGCGAACACCCTCGTAATCGATCCTGTTCCACAGATTTAAATGGCAGGTCAATTAATTCATCGCAAGCACCACAAGCCTGTACCCACACTTAGGAAACTGACAAACCAATAAATGACCTTATGATCCCTTGGCACATTCATAGACACTTGCAACTGGATCGGGCGAGTTTCATACGGCTAGCGTGCCATGGTAGAGAACACCACCACTATGGATTATTCCACTGTCCACTCCTTCCTGAAAAAGTGAAACAATCCAAAACTGACCGTATTAGAGGCAGCCTTGGATTACGAGCTCTGGTACCTGATGGCTTCAATTTTCAGAAACATTCCAAAGTGTTAGTATCTGTTAACATCCCCGCACTTTTGTCATGTTAGAAAAGTTTTCAAGACTTATCTTACAACTACACTGAAAAAAGACGATTTTGGGTTCATCTCTTTCCTTTTTTATTTCTATTCTGCAGAGAGAGCAGTGAGTTATCAATCAACAGCTTAAAACAAATTTGATTAATTCTAATCCTGAACCTGTGTTTCAGTTGAAATCACCAAATTAAGTGAGAATTTTGATGAGCTAATTCCATTTATCAGTTAGTGAAACTTGAGTGTAAGATTCATGATTCAAACATCAACTTCAAGCATATAATTCAGGTATGATTTAAGCAGCATTCCAATAAAGAGAGAGACTAAGGCAAAATTTTTGTAAATAGTCCGATAAGAACTGTCCTAATATTAGCTTTATCTTGCGAAACATTACAGGGAAAAATTTGAAGGGGGGGAGGGGTGAGGAAGGAATTGGATCCATAAAAAGCTCAAAATAAAGAGTCTGAAGTTACTTCACAAAACAAAATACTACGGTGGATTGGAAGGGGGGAGGGGAGAAACGAGTACATTTATAAAAAACAACGAAGGAAAAAGGACATTCCATATTATCCATTCTAAAAAAACCCCAAGCAAAAAGAGGATCAAAATTATCTAAGAACCATTTGTTCAAATTTGAAACAAAAGTGACAATAATCTACATAAAAGCTATTGATAAATACACACGTCTATTCCAGTATTGCTAATTAAGAAGATAATTAAGGCATCAGGTGTGAGGAGGGCACTTCTCCTGTTAAGAGATAGGTGAAAACGTGCCCTCTTCTCAGCAACTGCCTTTGGTTTCAGTGTAGAATTCAAGAGGCCAACAATGTTGTGGGACCGCTCATAAGATACGGAACGCTGAAAATCAGATTTTTTGAACCCCTCTTCCCCTCTCAAAGCACCTGTAAAGCGGACTGCCTTTACTGACAAACTATGAAACTTATATTTAATCCCCACCCACTGAAATTACCGTTAAGTGGCGAATTTAGGATGAAAAATTGACACCTTGTGTTGATTTTTTTATAAATCTGCACTAAGCGCCCATTCCAATGTTACATCCTGTAACGCAGGTTCAGATGCCCCTTTTCTGCTTGAGAATATTATATAAACTGCTCTTCATGGCTACTCGGCTAAAAAATTGAGTACTGTGCAGTCTCCAAGATGAGAGGCCTTGAAGCAAGACAAAGGGAAAATTTACAAGGTGCAGAATTGTTAATGATGGGAGTCAGAGAGCTCTGAAGGAAGGTTACAAACAAGGTTCTTAGAAAGTATTTGATAGCCACGTACATGTTTCCAGAATAAATTATCACCTTTCTCCAAAAAATCTTCCCATACACTCTTTGTCATAAAGGTTGCATTCACTTGCTATCATAGCAACATCAAAGTGATTTGTGCAATCCAGGGTAAACTCATACAATTTCATCATGTGTTCCAAGTATTTGAGGAAAAGGTGGACCATCCCTTTTACACCAATTTCCAGGAATAGCAAAACGGAGATGTGATTGAAGCTCCTTATTTCCATGGTAATTTTCCTCAGCTCTCTGACTACTAGATGAAAAAAAATGGTGAAGTTAGCTACTATTTAAATATTACAGGACTAGTTAAGAAGGGTAAAGTTAAATAAGATTAACATTTAAAAATAAAAGCTTTGAAACCATTGGAAAGCTTGATTATTGCACTTTGAGAATAGCTTAGACAGGAGTCCAACGGGTCTAGCAGCTTATAGTTGAGGCGTTTTGAAAACCGACAGTACTTCAAAATGGATTGACAAGTCTGTCGGGTGATTCTCAAAATGAAACACTCGCTCAATGGGAGCACCGAGCCTCTTGAGCATGTTGCTGAATGTTTTCTCTTCTTTTCGAATCCATGGGCGTCTCTTGTCACAAATCTGATATGGAGTTACATGAACATGAATTCGAATATCTGCAAAAGCAATATAAACTTGTCAAAGAATTTGATGATTCCAAAAAATTGATCATTTTTGACATGGAATAATGCGTCGTCAAACATGGGATTGTACGGCTATAATTCTATATCTTATGCAAAAAATTTAGGAATGCAGCATAAACGGAAAATGTTTACAAAGGCAGGGAAAATTTGGAGAACTCAGCGTTTATTGCCCTTTTTTAAATTTTTGATAATGAAAATTTAATAGATTTTTACTGAGGCCATCGCTAGAGAAACAACCTACTGCCAAAAAAGGTGTCTTGAGAAAAAATGTCTCAGTCAAAGAATAACAGGCAAAAGACACAGTAGGAAAAATTTGGATACCTCGATGATTTCATTACTTCATCAGTTTAAGATGAGAATACAGCCATAGGCCGTTTACAGCGTTTGATACATGATTATTGGTTACACTGGTCAAAACAGATAAATTTACCTGCAGTGCATCAACTGATTCCTGGTAGATTCTTAGCGCTGATTCCAAAAATAATCACCATTTATGTGGGTCAACTCGATTTTGCTCGAAAAAATCGGACTTATCCCTAAAAATCGAGCTTTTCCAGAGAAAAGTCAATTTTCCAGAAAATCTGTGCACGATGGAGAAAACCTAGGTCATTTTCGGACAGATTGGCCAAAATTACATAAGAAACAAGAATTATATGCCTATTGAAGTTTCCTTTCTGTTCCTAATATTGAGGTTTTTCCAAGCAAGTGGTCCTTCCCGGTCATGGAAGAGCATGTGAAGCTCATCCAATTGTTTTGCGTTGGAAAGGAACGGAAAACACTTTTTCTCAGGTAGCAAGGTGGGTAATTTCCACACAATTTTTCCCGCTGAAGCCGAAAATGAATTTTGTTTTCTTCTAAAATCTTCGGAAAATCAAGTTCTTGAATGGATGAGACTTTTTAGAGCTGGAAGGCGCAATAATTGGAAAAATCAATTTTTCTAAAATTTGGTAAATTTTTTAAGAAAACGAAGGTCATTTTCGACTTCAGTGGCAAAAATTGAGAGGGAATAACTCGACTTGATACCTGAGTAAAATGTTTTCTCCCTCCTTGCCGAGGCAAAACAATAGAATGAACTTTACATGGTGCTAAATGGCCAGAAAGGAGCACTTAAGGGCGATTATTTTTGTTGCAGACATTACGTTCTATACCTCAACCTGTACATAAGTTGGTCTGCTCATCGCGAAAAATACAACATTTTTCAATGACTGAGTAATGTACCTTACTCCCTATCATGTTGCAAATTTCCGTTTAAAAAAATTGTATACAAAGCAAGATACAGGTCAATGAAGGCTGTTGTAGAAGTTACAAAAAAGACCTCTCATTTTTGAGGACCTTACTTTGACTTTAATTATTATAGAAACTATTTACTTCATCAAAATTCTAGTTGGTCTCATCGAGTCTTCTTTTCAATCAAGTGTCCATCTCAAATAAAGTTTCTATGATTTTGTGGGGACATTGCCATTTTTATGGTGTTGCGGATGATACAAGGTTTTGTTGTGGACGGTATAGCCATAGAAAGGACCTAAAATAGGCTGTAACTCTTGCAGTTTATAAAGAAATTGAATCAAAAGGTAACAGCATGAAGTAGGAAAGCCAGTTGTCACAACGATACATGGATTTCACCTTAAATTCGATACAAATAGCTGTCAAAATCTTTTCCGAAGTAAATATCTGAATTGATAGTAGGGCCGAGTTTCCACCTTTAAAATTCAACTTAAAAATAAATTTCAGCACAAATTATTTAGGAAAATGAACAAAACGGCAAAAGTAAGAGGTGTTACATTTGTCATGAGTAGAAAAGTACACCTTTTTAGAAAAATACAGGGTGTCCCAGACTACCTGTATAAGGCTATTTCCTCAGTTATTTTAGTTCGGACGAAGTGGGGGATGGTGGAGGTGAAAGGGAATTTGACCCCGAGGAATCTGAATTTCCCTCTCAAAGCCCCTCCTGCAACCCTTGGTGGATGATAAAATGAGGGTCCTTAGTTTTAAAAAAGGGTGTCTGCCATAATTTTGAAATAATTCCATCGAAATTAAACAGTGCAAAAATTTTTAACCCAGACCAACACCAAAAATCCAAAATTGGCCGAGTACGCTGAACAGAAAATTTTCTCTGAGTTTATCACCACATACGAAAATATTTCCTAATAATAAGTTGAAGAAATCACGAAAAAATTATTTTCACAGGTATTGATAGAAAGCAGCAATGTGCGGCATTCCCGATGTAGGCCCTCCCACGTTCACTATAGTAATGCTGTTATATTAGGAGCCGCAGAACAGACACAGCAACTGTGCAGTTTAACGCAAAAATATGTTAAAAAAAAGGTGCAATTAATAAGTAAATTGCACTTGAATGCACATCATCCGGACAACTTTATCAAACATTTAAGAAAACAATAAGAAAAGTGTTACCGGAATTAACTTTAAAATTGAACACACTTTACATGTGAAAATAAAGTAAAACATAATAGGGCTGCTGCAGTGTGCCTGTTTTTAAATTAAGAGCAGATCGAACAAGTTAAATGTGAGATTACCTCTAGCTAGAGCCTTGTAGCGTCCTCTATGTTACAGACGTTATACTTTTTCACCTTTGTATAACATGATCACTGAAGTATCTAAATATGTCCTGATACTGCTGGAGTATCAATAAAGAATGTGTCCTATCGTTCACCAATGGGCCTGTTGCAAACTTTTGCTAGAGCAAAAATAAGAGTTGCTTCTTATTGAAAATGTCTCAAAAATCACGATGAGCGCATCAGCAAAGTGTGAAATGCACTCATAACTTCACAATCTGCATATGAAATTTGCGTTTTTTTGAGCTTCCTGCTTCAAAAAATGATACCACGGCACAGGTGAACATTTAGCTGGAGGAGTCGTTCCATCGTCAGCAATATTCTTCATAGCCGACGCTTCCGCAGTTCTGTGCGTAATTTGAGGAGAGATCAAGGTCAATCAAGGCGGGCGAGGAAAATATGAACGTAAACACGCCAATAGTTATTTGTCTCATCGTGGTCATGTGTTATCTCGTCCCGTCACACTTGTTTTGGCGGATTGGCGTCGGCCACGATGAATATTGCCGACGATGGAACGACTCCTATAGCAAAATGTTTACCTGTGCCGTAGTATCGTTTTTGAAGCGGGAAGCTCAAAAAACCGCAAATTTCTTACGCAGATTGTGAAGTTATGAGTGCATTTCAGACTTTGCCAATGCGCTCATTGTGATTTTTGAGACGTAATCTATAAGAAACGACCCTTATTTTTGCTGTAGCAAAGTTTTGCAACAAGCCCATTATAAACCTCTAAACTAGCTACTGCGTTAAATGGTATCAAGTTTAATAGCTTTTCTGCTGCAGACGTTACATTTTCACATGCCTTAACAAAATAGGAAAAAATATTGTTTACAATTGAACTTTTCTGCTTTTTAGAGGCTGTTTGATATTGTTGAGAAATTTAACTCTAACTCCATTTGGTTGTAAATCTTATAGATGCAATGTGCAGAGAAAAAAAATCACTCCAAACATAATACTGAAAATCACTGGGCTAAACATGCCTTCAGAAAAACTAGAAAATCTTACGAATCCATGAGCTTGAGATGAAAAGAGAGCTCATTTCATTAAATTGAATATTTTTTCTATCCTGATCACAAAAGTTTACCATGCACAAGTAAAGTTGATTTTTTAACCTCGAGGGTTACGTTTAGAAATAATTGTCCTTGTTTGGAAAAACCCCGATATTAGGAACAGAAAGAAAACTTTAATAGGCATGCAACACAAAGACTCCGCTGTAATTTCGGCTGCTAATTCCGAATATGACCTTAGTTTTTCTCCATCGTGCATAGATTTTCCAGAAAATTGACTTTTCTCTGAAAGAACTCGATTTTTAGGGAAAAGTCCGACTTCATCAGGGAAAATCGAGCTGACCCACAAAAACTAGGGTCACTTTTTATCTGGAATCAGCACTGAATATTTGCTAGGAATCAGTTTGTACATTTTAAACTTAAAAAGGAAAATTTTGTTGAGCAAAGTTATCCTTGAATTTTTGGTCTGCAGAATCGTAAAAAGACCTTGATTTCTTCCTAACAAGTACCGATTTCCTGGCTAATTTACTTTTCCTTGGAAAAGGCTGTTTTTTGAAGGCAAAGGGTAAAGGAAAAGAACTATGGTCATTTTCGGACTCTCAACCAATGCTCACAATAACATAAAAATCAATTGCTTTCAGTTTTACTCTTCCATCCTCACCGAATCATGATATCTTATTTGTGTTATTTTAATTACTTTTATAAGATACTAGCCGTTCTGGGCGCACTTCGCGCGCCCGTCACGCCTAGCCGGGGGCTACGCCCCCTGGACCCCCGGTCACTCGCTACGCGAGTGACATTCGGCTCGCTTCGCGAGCCGATTTTGTAGTAGTTGCAAATTTTTTATCACTATATTTTGAAGATTTCATAGAAAACATTTTTCACTCCACAATTAACTTGTAGAATAATAATGGCAGGGCAAGAAATAGACTATGTCTTAAAATGGAAGGTTCCCACTTAGTAAAAACAGCCAACACTACGTGAAGGTGAGGAACCATCCTTAGCCACTTTTTTTTTCTTTCTTTCTTTACTTTTCTGAAAAAAATTTACTGAAATTTTAGTTGCGTCCCCTAAAAGGAAACACGGAGAAAAAAATTTGTGCATGTAACCCGAAGCTGAGATCATATGGATCTCTGAAGTTTTCGGATCACGCATCCGAAAAGTTAAGGTCCATCTGCCGAAGTTCGGGTCAGACAATTGAAGTAGTTCGGTATATACCGAAGGTTTCAGGTCACACATCTGAAGTACTCGGTGCATACCGAAGTGCTTCAGATTTCTGACTCAGAGATTTAGGAAAAACACAGTAGAGAACCAAGGAAATCACAGTAGAACAGAGAAAAAAATACAGTCGAATAAATAAAGAAAACTATTATCGAAGAAATTCTAATTATTAGAAAGTAATTGGCTGGCGTAATCAATGCGTAGCTGTATAGGAGCATGAGCGAGATTTATCATCAACTGACCGCTGGCCGCTAGGTACCTGGGTGGGCGAGCGACAATACGTAAGCGGTGGCATATGGTTCGATTGACAGAGGAGTGGGGAACGGTCAGACGTAGGGGAAAGGTTCAGGCTGAACCGTTCAGCACAGCGCAGCGTCAGTCACCAGGTGGGGAAGAGAGTCCGGGAGGGGACACTTCCCCTCGAGTGAAATAGAAAAAGGCAGAATCCTTCGAAGTTTATATTAATGATTTTCATTCTGTAAGGCTCTATTTTTTACTATTCAGATTCTATTTTGGCGTTGAGTATGTTGTTGTAATAGAGTCAAATAATTGAGCCGAAATGCTTTGTTACAGATATCTTAATAGCTTCATAGGTGGGTCTTTATAGAGCCCTGTATTAGGTTAAACCTGTTTTGTTTATATTTTATAAGTTATATATGTATATTCTGGTGACTAGTTCTTCTATCATCTAAATATGGAATTTTCTATTAGACAAATTTAGATTTAATCATATTAGTTTATTTAAAAAAAGCTACGGTGTTCATATATGGTTCAAGGATTGCTGGATTTCCTCTTTTTCTGGGATTCACAATTAAATGAGTAGTAATTAATTTTTTTTGATATCTTGGTTTACAATTTTTGATTAGATTAATAATTTCAATTTCACTTTTATCAGTCTATTTTTATTTGCAGATATTTTTGTTGTTGTTATGATAGTGTTCGGTAGATGAATAGGGCTATATAGGGCGTACAGTATAGGGCTATGTTTACTCTTTCTTGTGATGAAGACATATTTTCAATAATTCTGCCACCATTTTTGTTTCATAGGAAAAGTCCTTCTGATACCGTAAGTACACAGAGAAATGTGAATTCTTGATAAAAAAAAACTTTCTCAGCCATGTTGGTTAGCCTCAAAAGTCTAATGCAATACTACAAAATGGGATTAAAAAGGAGGAGACAGTGGATTAACAAGACTGACTTAGGCCGTGTTTATACAGCATTTGACTCTTGATCGCGACGCGATTGCGCTCATTTGATCCAAGACTGCGACTAGACTGGGATTTGATGCTTGTGTTTATACAGGGTTAAACTCCCTCGCAACTCAATTTTAATTTATCAACAATACTGTTGGGTCATGGTGGCAGTGCATTATGTCTTCATCTGACGAAGAAGACGTGCTTTTGCTATGGGCGGTGAATAAGCATCGTCGTTTTCGTTGTTATGGTGAACACCCTTTCAATACAGAAAATATTAAAAAAAGTCAGTATTTAAGTTTTTTGTTAGCATAAAATGCATTCCATGGGTTTCAGAGGCATGGCCGAGCCTCCACCAGTTCCACAAGCTTCAGGGCTTCCTCTTCAGAAGTCATTATACTAGCCAACCTCTAAAAATCTTTTTTATTTTATTAATAAACCACCTTTTTTAAAAAAGATGAAATAGTTTTCGTCCGTTCACTGCACCAAGCAAGACGAGACTGATCAAGAGTCGAGTCGGAGTCTACAGCACAGAGTCTCGTCACAGACCGCGACGCGACTGAGATTTGATCGTCAAATCTCAATCGCGTGCGAGTCGCAACATGTATAAACATGCTCATTCAACTCCATGTGTTGTGCCGAGTCACAGTCTAGTCGCAATTGCGTCGCGATCAAGAGTTCAATGCTGTATAAACACGGCCTTACAGATTGTTTATCGTAGAAAATGGCCAACTAGCGCCAAGGAGATGCTAAGTTTGATAGAATCGCAATTTTTAAACAATAAGAAGCACACATCCTTCCTCCCTACAAGGTACTCAAATATAAAATGAATAAGCTATAACACAAAAAGGAATACTCACTAAGTCTTGTTAAGGTTTCTAGTAAACTCCGAGAAGTGATCCAGGTGTTTTTGACACCAGCATGGCCACCTTCTAACCAGTACATGTCTGTTATGTTGGAAACAAGCCTCATCATGGTTGTGTCATCTGGTGTTAGTGTCTTCATATAGTGGAACTCATATAGAAATTGGTTGAGAACTACGCAGCCTTTGCTGAATCCTACCAAAGTGATTGTTGCTTCATCTAAATGCGGCTCTGATTTCCAATTCTACAAGACAAAATATAAAATAAAAGTAAGAGAGCAAAGCATACACATCATACAGTGAAAGTTCAATTTTCCAGATCCACAATTTGAAAAAATATAAACAGGAAATATACTGGCTTTTGGAGTGAGAAGTCATCAAGTTACGTAGTTATTTTATTTTCTCCAGTTGGCTCGTTTAGGTGGTTGGATCTCTACTAAACGATGCATTTCTGTTATGGGAGCCATTATCAGGCTTCTTACAAAAATTGACAATAAATAAAAATAAGCATTAAAAATTAGTTGAAACATTACAAACTGGCTAGAATCGTGAGTCGGTTTTGAATGTTTTCACTGTATTTGGTGGGCTTTTTTTATTGTAAGAACAATGAGATTCCCCCTTCCTTTTTTTTTACTAGCTCCAAAGAGATAATTCCAGTAGTTTGATGGAAGTCCACTCTCATTTTCCAATATGGCCGTGGAGCTCTTGCATGCCTGTAGGATTTGCGATTCATTTGGTGTTCTCTGGTAAAATTTCGCGAGAAACACGATGGTACCACTGGTTACCTCGCGTTTCTCTTCATTTCAGATCGAGCAAGGTCGGGGATTGCAGGAATGGAAGGGAATCAACCGGAAGAAATCCGATATTCATCGTCTTGAAGCCTCCTTGGCCTCAACGGTGTCCCACTTCGAGAGTCACCTCCCTAAAGCATTAACCCCAATAACAATAATAAGTATTTAGCCAAGGAAAAAAGCCAAAACAAATTATAAGGGTTGCGCAACGCCTGAAACACCCCGANNNNCCGAGTTACCATTTTCTTTGCAATGATAAAACTGAGCTAAAGCTTCAAAAATTTAGAACAAATGCTTGGGTACTTTGAAGGAAAATAATTGGTTATGTCATTGTGCATATGTGCATCCCAATTTTTATTAACAAGCCCTCAAAATCGGCTAAGAACGCGCAAACTTCAAAATGCTGTATTTTTGTATTATGGCGATTTGCTCAGTTGCCAGAGTTGAATTAAACGTTAAACTTACAATTAATTGCATTTTAACCAATTTTAACCAAAATTCATGTTTCACTACATTACCCCCTCCCCCTCCTCTATTTTTGACCGTACTCCAGCGTTGCCAAAGTCACAATAGGTGTGTAGGAACTTTTTTCTTTTTTCCATTAAATATTATATTTTTATTCATATTCTTACATTTTACTCATGAAAAATGGGATAGCATGATTTTTTTCTACTTTTTTTGAAAGACTTTTAGTTAAGTATAACAGAACTACTACAAGTATTTCCTTGTACCTATCTACAGGATTTATTAGGCCAGTCCACACCCGGTGGCATTAAGCTCAAAACTATCAAAGTATGGGTAAAAATAGACAATAAATTCATTGGAACACTTGGTTTTGTCCGAAACAAACTCCTTTTTACTGAAAAAGTTGTTAAAGTTCGCGAATTTTCAAAATTCCCATCCGCCGTTGTGACACCATACTTACTGCAGATTTTTGGCGGCGCACTCCCAGCTTATTCACCGTGCCATCGACCAAGCATCAGCCATCGGAAACGTCGGGGTCATAAACAAACGAAAATTGATAGCACAAAGGATCCAAACAACTCAAAATCTCTTAATTTTCATTAATTTTAATCCATTTTCGACTTCAACCAAGCATTAGACAATGATATTCATCGTATTTTACAACCTGGAGCAACAGTCTATTGGCTCATCAAGATGTTGATTCCGAAAGTCAGTTCTTACAAGTCCAAACCCTGACATTCTTTTTTTGGACCATTCTCTTTTCATTTTCGCCTCAGATCAAATGTTTAGCAATTTCTTTATCTTAAGTATGTGGTCCTGAATTCATTCAAGAGTTAGAAGTTCACCTTTTATCTAGTATTACAGCTTTATGACCCCTCAAACTTCACTGATATGATCTCATGTAGTTCAAGGTTCCTCAGCCCTGAACCAAGTGATTACACATCTAAGGTGTGTCTTATGGCTCTTCAAATTAAGGTTTAAAAATAAGTTAGGGGCTACAGTAACTTAATCCAGTTCTGCTCTCTTGTTCAATGTTTGTTATCAGTGTTTGTTCGTGTCTGTTCTTCGTAAGTGACTACTATGGTGCATACACAGTTACGCTATTGGTACAGGTATTATTGCTTTTTTTCTACAGTCAGGACTTCCTCTTAAGCACAATAATTTACCAAAGAAATTCCCCTAGTTGCGTAAATAAATTGGTAAGTAGTTATTCAGTTAACATCTCCATGCGGTGACGCTAAGTTTCTGAGATCTGTCTTAAGTTGGTTTTGCCTTTAGACGGTCACGCTTGTCAGATAAAATTACTGCTCTGGCAGCTTTAAATTAATACTTTCACCTCTGATTCATCAATAAACGACACTCATGGTGTCATTTATCATTAATTAAAAAATTGGTTGCCTATACTTTAGCAACAAGAATAGTTTTCCAAAAATAGGTGGCCATGTGCCTGAACAGTTGAGGAGATGCATAATTCCTTCCTCTTTGCACAATTAACCAGTGATGCTTTAGTGATAATAACAGGAAAGGTCATCCCTCTGATTTTGAAACTGCGGTCATTTTTCGGCATCAATTTGACCCAACAGAAAGTGAATTGAAAGGCCTTCAAAGACTACGCTTGTACATTTAAAGAGTTTATATTTTTGCTGGTACACGTCTCAGCTTCCAACAAGAGCCCCTCCAGATGATTAGCCTTTTACAAAAGAGTTGCTTCAGTAGGTACAAGCGTATTGATTAGAAAGTATCAGAGGTTGGATTTGCCACTTTTTCAGGGCATTTATGGTATCTAGGCGACAAGTTGGTGCCTCTGTCTGTTTTTGATTAACTCATTTCTAAAAGTATGAAAAGAAAAATAGGAAAAGCTATAGTAACTAAAGAGAGCAATCATGATTATCTTTAAAGGTTAGTGAAAAATGACACTGAATTACATGCATTTTCATCCTATCATAAGGCTGATTTCATAGCAAAATAAATAAAGTAATTGTATCACATGCATAGTTATTGACTCTTCTTAATTTGAAACTTCTAACTAGCATTGCCTGGTATTTAAAGATGAAGGAATTATGCATTTCCCTAACTGTCGAGGCACTTCGGACTTATTCAGGCTGATATCAGTCTGACTCAGGGCAGTTTATGAAACACAGCCTGACGTCAGGTTGATTCACTTTTACTAGGGCTATCGCATAAACATTTCAAAAATTCACCCTCCTGCCTTTCAAATCTGGCCGCCATCTTGGCATTTGGAGCAATCCCTATGACTTGAGGGCTATTATGACTTCATAAATGTCATCTACGACCAAAATTACATAAGAAATGATACCTCACTTGCCTTATTACGCGAACTTTTTAAAAATCCACCCTCTTGTCTTTCAAAATTGGCTGCCATCTTGGATTTGGGGGACCCCGTTTTGACCGGGGGACTTTTTTGACTTCATATCTGAGATCTACGACCAAAATTACATGGGAGATGACACCTCACATGACACTGTATGCGTATTTTAAAAAAAATCGAACCCCCAGAGGCCTTATTACGGCCGCCACTTTGAAATTTATGCAATTTTGGGGGGTGTTCCGGGATCGAACCATGGTAAACTTTTGGTATGTTGTTCAATAGGACCTCCTGAAGACGTTTACATAAGAAAAGTTTGTTCAGCAATTTATTCCGGGTTAACCCTCTTTTTTCGGATTTCTCCTTGACTAACCCCCCCCCCCAAAAACCCGAAAGTCGTGGATTTAAGGATATGAATTTTGGGCAATATGCACGAATAGCTATCTACTGGCACTTGATTGACTAAACATGTATAGGATACTAGGAGGCTACGCCCCCTGGAGGCGCTCCGCGCCGTCAATGGGCCGCTTCGCGGCCCTATTTTTACCCTCCTATCAGTGTTAGTTTTATTTTTCCCCTAAACAATTACGATATGAGGTATACTTTAATTTTAAACTTTACTTCAAATTACTATAAAATTAAAAGGACGCGTTTTGGAATGACTGCTTGATGAAATATTGCAGTAAAACAATGAACAATGATAGTCAGGTAATAAATAAGATTTCATGAGTCGGGGATCGAACCTACACCGAGTTCAAAGTGGACGCATTCGACGTCTTAGACGACTCGGTCACCGCTCGACGTGAGGGTTTTGCTGCGAATCTTGTGTAGATAAGTGTAGAGCTGATGCGCAGGCTACACAGCTACTGCGCAACCTCCTCGACCACTGCGCATCCTCCCGCGCATTGCGGTAGCAGTACCGGAGCATTCTATAAACTCACTCACTTTTATAACGTGATTTTAAAAAAACCTGGGTCCTTTTTCCAAAATCTGATTACAGCGGGCTCATCTAGGGCCTATTACCTGTCGATCTACGCAAAAATCATGGAAATCGGCCCGGTAGAACGCTCAAACGAACTATGACAAAAAGTATAAATTTACATTGTTTAAATGGGAGAATTCGCAACTTTACCACGTAATATAAAAAAACCTGGGCCATATTTTGAAAATCTGAAAAGAGTTGGCTTATCTAGAGACAATTGCCCGTCGATAACCGCAAAAATCATGAAAATCGGCCCAGTAGAACGCTGGAACTAAGCGTTACCAGTTTCGCAAAATTAGGAGGTCTTGGAGCTTATAGTATAGATGCATTTATGCATTTACGAGCCACAAAAACAGCCTAACTTGACTTTTTCAGCGCCTTGACCCGATATTCCTGCCAAAAAAGCGAAAAATCGCATTTTCTCAAAAACGGCCAAACTACAGATTTCGCGGTTTGTTGTTTCTCAATCAGTAGGTCTTCTAGTTGACATTTCTGCAAAAAAAATCGCGGGTGATATGTTGACCGCATGAAAAGTGTTTAAAACGTACTGTGGCCCACATCATGCTTTCCCATTTTTTATGAGTAAGTACCACTTTAGTGAAACATCACATAGACATTCAAAATGTAAGAATATGAATAAAAATATAATATTTAATGGAAAAAAGAAAAAAGTTCCTGCGC